TTTTTTTTTTTTGCAGAAGTTATGACTATGTAACTATCTGACTACTAAAGTATCTTTTCTTTTTAATTCTAAAAGTAGTACCTCTTTGTTCCCCAAACTTTATGAAGCTACAAAACGTTAAATGACTGTTAGGCCTAGTAACAGGGTTCGGATGGCCGGAAGTGATTCCAGCCGATAGTGACCTGAAAATTAGAACCGTCACGCAAAGCAGATGGTAAAGCTTCGTGTATACAGATTTACCCGATCCGGCAAATGATTCTCCGGAAGATGAAATTCTCAACGGTCTCGTCAAGGCTGCTACTCTTCAATCAGAAACTCGTGATCATCGACGGAAAGCGCGGCAGTTTAACAGAAAATCTTGTTAGTTTGACTCTCCTTTCGTAATGTGCTAAAATTAGAAAATGAATTTCAGTGCGTCGAACAAGAACCTTGAAACTGGTTGATGGTCAGCTAGAAACAAACTACTAAATTGCTCACACGCATTTGCAAAATTGGGTTCAACTTCAACTTCTAGTCGCTGTACACTGCCTTACTATGTTATTTTATCTTAGTGTCACGAGAAACACGCTAGAATTCATACGTGTAGGTTTTTTTTCTAAAGCATAATCCCAGCATTCTCTTTTTCACGCTTCCTTATTCCCATCGTACTTGTTGTCTCGTATGATTCGTGCTTTTTGATATGTGAGAATAATTGGCCGCTACGCAGCTCTCATTACAATTATATTTTAACACTTAAAAAGTGCCCTGTGAGATTGTAACTACACGTTACTGTACAGAGAATATATCAAATAAATTTATGCGTAAGCCTTGTTTACAGAGCTAAAGTATGTACCTGTTCCTTCTTGTAATTCTTCCTTACATGCTTATTACTGCTGTCAGGCGAGTACCACACCAATGGTATGAAACTAGACTTTCAAAACTCTGCTTTTCTCGAAATGTTATAACAAACAAAAAAAGAAGACGTCACCAGAGCTCATTATCAGATGAAATTGTTTTTGCGGGAAAAGCAAAGAACAAATTCTACGAGGACGGGACGTTTGAGGAGGTGTTTCTGTCTTCGCCACATCGGTTAACATAAGTCCAGTGCTCATAACCAAAAATCAACGTTGAAAGCGTACTCCAACAAAATAATGTGAAAGATTGCCTGACGCGCGAATTTTTCTTCTGAAATTTGATAAGAACGAAGAATTTGTCGTAGGTTTTGGTGAAGGTCTACGGAGGGCCTACGGGGTAAATAAGGCTTCCACCTGGCAAAATTTTCTTTTTTTTTT